ACACAGGAAACTCCACAGTGATGCTAGGTGAACAACTGAATTACAATTTACCCTAGTAGACATTTGAACCAGCCTACCACGCCTTGATTAGGATTGGTGCCAAAAAGGTTCCCAAAGGGCGGGGGCCCATACTCCTTGGTAGCTAGGGAGACAGTATGCAACCCCCCACTAATCAGATGTCTCTACTTGGCCTGACCCACCCTTGTATCTGGGCTTTGTTACCTGGAGCTGGTTTCCGCGACTTGTTTTTAAGTGAATCCCCTGGGGGAAGGAGAGCAGGGACAGTTTAACTTTAATGAAAGCCTCTTGCTAAATAGGTCCTTACATCTACATGTCTTCTTTCCAGTCTTTGTGCCAATGCTAATCTCTTCTCTATTTATGGCTTCCTCACTTTGATGACCCAAAACAGCATGTTAGTCCCATGGGGTACATTGAATAAATCCCAATGCTTGTTGACTTGTTCCTGTTTCTCTTCCATACGTAAGTGAGGTCAGAAGATGTTTCTCACATACACACACGTAATAGTAAAATTATCCTCAGGCACATGGACTATGTTTCACTATGTAGGCTTGAACATGCTATGCAGATAACACTGTATTACATAGCTCCACTCTCTTAAAATTCCTCAACAATATCAATTATCAGCCAGGATAAATAACATGGAAATTTTGCCTTCCCTTCACTTTCCTTTTGCCTACACAGAAACATTCTGCCTGAGGACACAGGAAGTGTATAAATGCACTGTTAGGGCTCATGTCAACTTGCCACATAAACAGATGAGTTGGCTTTTATCATGAATATTATCTCATGGCGGTACTTTCCCAGACTGCGCTCCAGGCCTTCTCTTTTTCATCACCAGTATTCCTACAGCTACCACTAATAGCTTTCATTATGGTAGAAATTTTGTCCATAGACCCCAAAAATAAGTAATAGTAGCTAACATTTATAGATCATTTACTATGTGCCAGGCACACTTGACATGCATTATTACTGTTGGGCTGGCAGAAAGGGCTACTTAAGATGGCGAAAGTTCCCGCCACAAGACCTGAACTTGGACTGGAGAACAAAGGCCCAAGATGGTGAAAGTTCCCACCACAAGACCTGAGCTCGGACAGGAGAACAAAGGCCCAAGCAGGAATCTGAGACCCCCCCACCCCGGGCTCCTATGGACCAATGGGACCCCGACGAGCAGGCGAAATATCCGAATAAGGGAAACTTGCCCAAAGACCCCTGAGCTCCCCTCGAGACTCCTTAACAGCCCCCTCCTCCCTGCCTTGGGCGCAACTTCGGCCACTCTGCTTTCCAGAGTCGCGGAACCTCGCCCGAGGGTGCCCACCTCCTCCCGGGGCAACTTTCCTGGCTCCCCTCCTCCTGAGCCCTGAAACTTCGCCGGAGACGCCTTTAATAAATCTTGCCTTGCACCCACTTTGCCTAGTGTCGTGTTTATCTCGCCGGAAAAACTTTACATTTGGTGCCTGCACCCGGGAAGGAGATTGAGCCCCCACCCCAGCTGGGAGGCTCTCTCCGTTCCCTAGCCGACCCGGACCCGCCTTTCCGAACGCCACTTCTGAAGCCGTGTTGAGTTTCCCCCGATTCCGCGCCTCCTTCCGGAAAGCCCTGCCCTAATCGCAGTCGCGTCAGGGCAGACCCCGCCGGTCACCAGGTGGCCTCCGTGACTCCGAAAGGCTGGGAGACGTCCTAACCTCTACGGCAGACCACACAGTTTTTCCACAACCCAGTGGTGGACGAGGGGACACCTTCCTCCAGCCCTCGGGTTGCCCGGCAACGAATCGTGGGGACCTCCCAATCCAAATTCGACCCTAAAACATCCCGGGGGTGTTTTAGGCCTGTTGGCCAATTTAAATCAGTCCCAATGGCCTCCGGAAGGCACGTTTAATTATCAGATTCTCATGGACCTAAATAACCTCAGCAGACACCTAGGCAGATGGGCCAAGGTCCCTTATGGCCAGGCTTTCTGGACTCTGCGCTCTCGCCCCTCCCTCTGCTCTCACTGCTCCACTTCACAGGTCCTCTTCGCCCGCTCCCCTCCCCCTACCCTGCCACCCACTGCTCCCAAAGACCCAGACCTCTCCTCCCTGTCTCCCCTCTCTGAACCCCCGGAGAGCTTCACCCACCCACCGACAAGAGGGCCCCTGGTTCCTCTTCCTCCTCCTCCTTACCGCCATCCCTTACCCCAAGGGCCCTTAAGTTCAGGATTTCTGAACCGGCACCCTTGTCTCCCCTCCCCCCTCCCCCTCCCCACTCCTATCCGAAATCCTAACAAAGTGATCCGCAGTAAATGTGAAACTTCAATCAAAGTTTACTGAAGGTCAAATAAGCTCTTGTTATTTGTTAAAATCTGTTAGCAAAGAAATGACTAAACTGATGGTTAATTGTCTGTCTCAAAGTTTTAATGGGTAATTGTTGAGATAGCTTTCAAAGTCTTTGGTAACCTGAAAGTTTAAAGTTTTGCTTGGATGACAAATGGGATTAAATTTGTTGGACATTTAGGTCTTTTCCAAAGAGGGTAAAATGCCAAATCACTGATTACTGAACATAGCTTTGTGCTTTTGACTTCTTACAGCAAAGAAAGTAAGAATATTCAAATCTGTTAGTAAGCATGGTTTGTGCTTAATTTGGCATCTAAAGAATTCTGTTATAACTGTTCACAATTGATTACTAACTGACTAGAGGTTAAGGGGTTTCTAAGAGTACAAAATTCTGCTAAGGAAAGTAGAATATATAAGAAAGATTTAAGGAATGGGAGTACATTTTATTGAAAGTAAAAGGAGATAATTTTGTCCTAAATGAGATGGTTGTTTAGGACAAAACCTAAATGCAAAGGAAAGTTGTAGAAGGTTTGTGAAGGGAAATCATTCAGGAACCCAATGAAAACCCGGCCATGTTTCTTAACCGACTTACTGAGGCGCTGACTCAATACACTCGCCTAGACCAGGCCTCTCCGGCAGGGGCGACTGTTTTAGCTACCGACTTTCTCAGTCAGCCGCCAACATTCGGAAAAAATTAAAAGTGGAGGAGGGCCCTCAAACTCCCATTTCTGATCTGGTGAAAATGGCATTTAAAGTCTTTAACTCCCAAGAGAAGGCAGCAGAACTTAAGCCCCAAGCCAGACTCCAACAGAAGGTCCAACTGTAGACCCAAGCCCTGGTAGCAGCCCTGAGGCCGGCAGGTTCTAGGGGTCAACAGAAGGGAGCACCTAACTGCGTCCCTCCTGGGGCCTGTTTCAAGCGCGGAGCCGAGGGACACTGGGCCCATCAATGCCCCAATCCAAAAGCGCCTACTAGGCTGTGCCTTCAATGCTGCATGATGGGCCACTGGAAATCGGACTGCCCCAGCCTCGGGGGATTCCCAGCGCCTCCACGTCGGGGAGACCCTGAGACGGTAAGTCCTGCCTTCCAACTTCTCGGATTGGAGGATGACTGATGGAGCCCAGACTCAGACACCCCCTCTCACCCATGCCGAGCCCAGGGTCACGCTCCAGGTAGCGGGTAAGTCCATTTCCTTTCTGCTGGACACCGGACATTCTGTCCTGCCTTCCTACTCGGGTCCTACTCATCCCTCCCCAGTTGCAGTTATGGGAATTGATGGTACTTACTCCACTCCAAAGGCCAGCCCACCCCTTACCTGCAGCCTGGATGGGTTCCCCTTCTCACACTCCTTCCTCATTATCCCTTCCTGCCCTGTTCCCCTACTAGGCAGGGACATCCTCCACAAACTTCAGGCCACCATTCGTCTCTCTCCCTCTCCCTCGACTTCTGCTCACCTCATCTTCCCTCTACTCCCCTCTGACTCGTCCTCTATCCCAGACTGTCTCCCCTCCGTAGACCCGCAGGTATGGGACATTTCCAGATCTATAGTAACAACCCACAGGCGAGGACTTAAGCCCATCATCGACTGCCTCCTGCAGAGGGGTCTCCTTATCCCCATTAACTCTCCAAGCAACTAGATGTCACCGCCCAGGGATGGCAGCCCTGCCTCAGGGCCCTAGCGGCAGCTGCCTCTCTAACAAAAGAGGCCCTTAAACTTACCTTAGGACAGCCCATCATGGTCTTCTCCCCGCATCGACTGATGGACTTAGCCATAAATCCTTGGCACAACTAACTCCTTCCCGTCTCCAACTCTACCACCTGCTGTTCATAGAAAACCCCCAGGTCACACTCTGTCTCCCCTCACCTAAATCCCGCCACTCTCTTGCCGACACCTTCGTCTATCCCCACTCCTTCCCATTCCTGCTCTCAACTCCTGGAAGAACTCCCTCCCATCCAGGACTTTTGGACCGGCCGCTGCCTGACCCCGATCGCACTCTGTTCGTGGATGGGAGCTCCCTCATAGCTCCAGATGGACGGCCACACGCGGCCTATGCAGTGGTCACCCTGGACACTGTCATAGAAGCGGCCCCCCTTCCCATTGGGACTACTTCTCAAAAGGCAGAACTCGTGGCTCTCACCAGGGCCCTTCACTTATCTGAGGGCCAATGGGTCACTATTTATACTGACTCCAAATATGCTTTCCTTATTACCCACACTCACTCTGCCCTCTGGCGAGAAAGGGGATCTCTCACAACCAAGGAAACTCCCATAGTCAACGGGCCTCTTATTGCCAAACTCCTAGAGGCTCTCAAGTACCCTACTGAGGTGGCTATTGTCCACTGCCATGGCCATCAGGCCTCCAAGCACCCCATCTCTTTGGGGAACAACAAGGCCGACTCTATTGCCTAACAGATGGCCTTAAACTCCTCTCCAGCCCTTCTCCTGTTTCTCAACACTCCTCACAGTCCCTCGTACACTGATGAGGAGACTTGAGCCCTTAAAACATTAGGTGGCAGGTTGGATGACAAGGGATGGTATTTTGCCCAGGACAAAATTGCCCTCCCGAACAGCTTCACTCACATGCCTCGACACAAAACCTTTAGATATCTACTAACTCTTGTGGACACCTTCACAGGCTGGATCGAGGCATTCCCCACCACTAGGGAAACAGCGGATATGGTGGCTACAATACTCATCCAGCACATCATCCCAAGGTTCGGATTGCCCCAGACCCTCCAGTCAGACAACGGACCCGCCTTCATCTCCAGTGTAACCCAACAGGTAGCTGAGAGCCTCAACATAACCTGGAAACTTCACATCCCATACCACCCACAGTCATTGGGTAAGGTAAAGAAGGCAAACGGGCTGCTCAAAGCCCAACTCACTAAACTTACCCTAGAAACCCGCCTTTCCTGGCCCACACTTCTGCCCCTGGCTCTCACCAGATTCTGGGCTACGCCCCGAGGGCCTTCGGGCTTAAGCCCATTTGAATTACTATACGGCCGGCCCTTTCTTATAAATCATAGCCTTCCAGCCATTTCCCCGCCTCTTTTATCCTATCTACCTTACCTCACTCTCCTTAGAGCTCTCTTAAGGGCCCACGCCGACACTGTCATCCCAGCCCCAAGCGACCATGCTTCCGAAGGGGATATACGAGATCTTTCTCCTGGGGACCAGGTCCTTTTCAAAGCTTGCGGCCAGGCTCCTTACAAACCTGGTGGACTGGGCCTCATACGGTCATCCTTACCACGCCAACTGCTGCGAAACTGGGGCACTCTGCATGGGTACATATCAACAATCTCAAACGGGCACCCACAGATACTGATTGGACTTCCCAGATGGCAGGCCCCACCAAACTCCGCTTGGTTAGGGTCCCTTCTCATATTCCTTCTAATCCAGACAAACCAGGCGGAACCATGCGAGTCTAGCTGCATGAGGGGTTCAGGTACCTCTCGCTATTTTTCGGCCTTTACTTACATACCTGCAACCTGCTACCGGGGAAAGGAACCAACAACCTGTACATATGACCAGAAAATCTACTGGGTCTCTGACCTCGTGACAGCCAAACGTGGTATTGCCCCCTGCAACATCTACCTCAGGTCTGGAAAAGTTTGCTGGACCTATCTGGGTCATGTCGGCCTCTCTGACGGGGAGAGGGGGGTGTCCAGGACCAGGCTAGCCGCGAACGCACTAAAACAGCGGTTACGGACCTGACTAAACGACTCCAAACCCTCAGCGGCCCGGTCTATAAGGGCATCAATCTTGGTAGCATCCAAAAATTCCCTACCACCGAAAAACTGACAGTGGCCCTCCTGAACTCTAGTTACAACCTATGGCGAAATGTGTCGAAGAACGGTGACAGTGACTGCTGGATCTGTTTCCCTTTCTCAACACGTTCCAACATCGTAGGGGTACCCCTCCCTATTGACTGGCCACTCCCCAACTCCACGACCACAAATAATGGTCCCTATCGGCCCCATTGGGGGAAACATACCTATTATTCATGTGTCCTCCCCCCTTACCACCGCAGCTGCCAACATCACTAACTCCTCCCTCCCGTACTGTACCCCCTTGGGAATATTTCTCTTGTGCCCTCAGGGAACCTATCGCTGCCTGACCACTAATGACTCCCTAGACTGCATATTCATTCTACTATCTCCTTCTACCACCATCTACTCTGAATCCCAGCTGCATTCCATCCTATCCCCGCTGTTCTGGTTGCCACCCCTGTAGCTACTCCTGCCCCTATTATGAATGGGAGGAAGGCAGCCCTTCCTCCACGGTGTTGGGGGGATAGGAACTTCCATAGACTTTTATTACAAACTCTCCCAAGCCCTGAATGATGACATGGAACGGGTCACAGCCCTACAGACGCAAGTTACCAGCCTGGCGGCCTTAGCTCTACAGAACCGACGGGCCTTAGACCTTCTGGCCGCCGAAAAAGGGGGGACCTGCCTATACTTAAATGAAGAATGTTGTTACTTTGTTAGCCAATCAGGTATAGTTACCTCCAGGATCAAAGAACTCAGGGATCGGATCCAAGCACGGCGGCGAGACACGTCCTCCTGGGGCCTGGACCCCTACACCTGGGTAACCTGGCTACTCCCTCTGGCGGGACCTGTATGCATAATCCTCCTTCTAGTCTCAGTTGCTCCCTGTCTTTTCCGATACTTGCAGGGTCGCCTACAAGAACTTGCCCAAGTGTCCGTCAATCAACTCCTCCTCCAGCCCTACTCTCGCCTGCCCACTTCCGACTACCCCTATGACAACACCCCCCGTCAGCAGGAAGTAGCCAGAACTGAGTCAACGCCCCTGGCACCATTATATTAAGCAAAAGGTCGGAATGTTGGGCTGGCAGAAAGGGCTACTTAAGATGGCGAAAGTTCCCGCCACGAGACCTGAACTTGGACTGGAGAACAAAGGCCCAAGATGGTGAAAGTTCCCACCACAAGACCTGAGCTCGGACAGAAGAACAAAGGCCCAAGCAGGAATCTGAGACCCCTGCCCCGGGCTCCTATGGACCAATGGGACCCCGACGAGCAGGCGAAATATCTGAATAAGGGAAACTTGCCAAAAGACCCCTGAGCTCCCCTCGAGACCCCTTAAGGGCCCCCTCCTCCCTGCCTTGGGCGCGACTTCGGCCACTCTGCTTTCCAGAGTCACGGAACCTCGCCCAAGGGTGCCCACCTCCTCCCTGCGCATCTTTCCTGGATCCCCTCCTCCTGAGCCCTGAAACTTCCCCGGAGATGCCTTTAATAAATCTTGCCTTGCACCCACTTTGCCTGGTGTCGTGTTTATCTCGCCAGAAAAAAAACTTTATAATTACACTGAGCCCTCACAACTGTGTGAGGATGGCTCCCTTGTCATCTTAATTTTATAGATAAGGGAACTGAGACAGAGAAATGAAGCCCAGAGTTTATAACTGGCTGAGCTGGGATTCAAAATCAAACAACCAGATTCCAGAACCCACACTTTAAACAGCTGTGTTCTGTGATAAGGCTATAACCAAGATCCACCTAGCGTAGTATTCTAAAATATAGTATTTGTCATAGATGATGAATTAATCATATATAGATATATATATATGATATATGATATATGATATATGATATATATATACTGTCATATATAGATGAATTAATATAGTAGCTTTATTATCTAATGGATTTTTAAAATACTTTGACATATCTCAAGCTATACATTAATAAGAATTCGTATTCCTCCTCTTTAATTTTTTAGAAATTAAGTATTTACAAAAAACTATATGGATATTGGGATACTGGTCAGGATTCGTTGGTCACAAGTGAGATAAACCCAACTAACACTAGCTTAAATGAAAAGAACACATTTTCAACCCAGTTAACTAAAAATCTAGAGATCCACGTGTGGCAGAGCTGAAGCTAGCTCTAGGGGCTCAAATAGTGTCATGATCTCTAGCCCCATCTTAACTTTTCCCTCCTTTGCCTTCATTCACAGCCAGATGCTACCACTGAAGTAGTAAAGACCTGATCACTGGCTCTAGGATTAGGTTTTCTTTAGCGCGAAGCTAACAGTCCCACGAAAATATGGCCCTCCTGCCCTCTGGCTCCAGTAAAAAAAAAAAAAAAAAAAAAAGAAAGAAAGAAAGAAAGAAAAGGAAAAAAGAAAAAAAATCCTGAGTCTGCCTATGATGAACCCAGCTTGGATCAGGGTATCCCTCTGGGTTGGGGGGAAGGGGAGGCTGTTGATCAATAGCCCCTCAGAGCAGGGAGTGGCATTTCAAGAAAAAAAAAATGTTGGCTGACAACAAAATAATGGTCATCTATTACTCTGTGCAAAATGTGCTATCTTCTGAATCAATACCAGTGTTATTCTAAATTCTATTACCTCACAACAGATTCCATATTTTCATTTGTTTCTTGTTTTAACTACAGATTTTACATAAAGCAATATCATGCTGTGCGTATTCTGGTATCTTAGAAAAAAAGCAAGAAGATTTAAGTCACCAGTACTCTTCTTTACCTGACTTCTTTGTGTATAGCAAGTGTATGATATTACTGTGGGGGGGAAAAATACAAATACTTTTTATTTTGGAAAATAAGTTGACATAAAAACAGGTATGGTAAGTAAGCACATTTAAGGAATCTGCCACTTCAGGGGCTCCTGGGTGGCTCAGTTGTTAAGTGTCTGCCTTTGGCTCAGGCCATGATCCCAGGATCCTAGGATCAAGACCTGCATCTGGCTCCCTGCTCAGTGGGGAGTCTGCTTCTCCCTCCCACAACCCCTGCTTGTGTTCCCTCTCTTGCTCTCTCTCTCTCTCAAATAAATAAAAAAAATCTTTTAAAAAATAAAAAATAAATAATTTTTAAAAAGAAATCTGCCACTTCCAAATAGGGTCAGCTTAAGTGAATAAACCTGCATAATGATACACTCTGGGATGACAGACTTCCTTTTCCTCCTCTTTGAGAGAGACTGAACAATAGGGAACACCAGTTAGAATGGTGGCTGCCCACCGAGGCAACAATGGGTCTCTCCAGATTCAGGCATTCCTGCTCTAAAATAGTACCTGGCAAGACTTAAAAATGAGAACTTTGAGACAATAGTGAAAACTCAATATACTAAGTATAAATAAATTATCATCAAGTTTATTAAACAGGTAATTTAAACATTATACAGATAACACGACAAGTAAGTTCCATATGTTGACGTCCACTTTTTCCGTCGATCCCTCTTTGCTGCTAAGTAGTAATATTTTGATTAATTTATCAGGTTCACTTCTCAGTTGGTTTCTTCTTTCGCCTGTTCCAACTCCATGCCTTTTTGACTGCTACCGCCTGAACTTTCCAGCGTCTCTTTCAGCATCTTTGTGACCGTTTACACTCAGCTGTGGCTTAAAGACTCTTTTATCATGTAATTTAATATCTGATAAAACCAGTTTTATTAGAATTTGCTACCCTTACTGCAGATTATTTTTCACTTTGAACTCTAATTTGTCTCATTTTTACTCAGACTGCTGCTTTTCAGGACTCTTTCGCTAAGCAAACTATCCTTGTTATGCCACCAGAAAATGCATGTAGCATTGTTCAAACTCTTCCTACCATAATTTAACTTCCCTCAGAAGATCTTATTAGGTTAGGTAAAAAGAGGCTGGCTTCCTCAATGATTTTCATCTAGACTTTTCACTAACTAAACAGTACAAAACTAAAGCAAAAACCTTTGTAGATAGTTTTTTTATCCTTTCCAAGGATTGTCTTGTTAAAAGAGAGAGAGAGAGAGCCATACGACATACATTTTCAAGTATGAGCAAAAAACAGTTTTGTCACATTTTCTTTTAACCCTTCACTAAGTGGGGGTTTTAATATAAAGTGACATTCTTTATCTAAAAGGAAATTTCTTATTTTCCCGTATAGTTCAAATGACATTTCTTAAAATTTTTTCATATTAAGAAAACGTAGGGGCTGCTGGTTGGTTAAGGGTCTGCCTTCAGCTCAGATCATGATCCGGGGGTCCTGGGAGTTAGGCTCCTTGCTCAGCGAGAAGTCTTCTTCTCCCTCTGCCTGCAGCTCCCCCTACTTGTACACACACACGCTCTCTTTCTCAAATAAATAAATAAAATCTCTTCTTAAAAATGTAAAATCCATATTATAGGCTCTCAGTCTATATTTTCAATATCTACAATTCTGACACACAGAAATAGTTGTTAAATTAATGAAAGAATGAATGAATGAGTAAAGCTTGGAAACTAGTTCTATGGCTATTAAAAAAGGCATATCCAAAAAATGAAAGCACAACATTTTAATTAATAGAAATCTGTGCATAATAAAAGAAAATAACAGAAAATTATTTTGAAGCTGACAGAGAACTTAAAAACCATGTCAGGAATTTTACAGGTAAGAGCTGAGACCCCAGAGGCTTGAGAATCACACAAGAAAATGGGGATCACTCGATTCCCAACATTGTGCTCTTTCTTCTCTACTATTTCCATTATGAAAATATAGTTTAAATTCCATTGCAGAGAATGGTATTGCCCTCGAACGCTGATTTCCTAGGATGGTCTTTGAGTAGATTTTCTGGTTGTGGGGGACGTTGCTGTTGCTCCACCCAGATGCCTCTAACAGACGCAGACACGCCTCCACCTGCTGTTGAGCTACTCTCGTCTGAGAAATGCCCTCGGTTTATGGGAGCCACCACCCAAATGGGCCTGAGAAGCGATACCTCTCCCCACCTACCAGGTGGGCCTCAGCCAGTGAGTAACTTATGCAGGAGTACAGAAGCTCAGGCCCTATCCACATGGTGGGCAAACCACGGTGCCATTTACATGGCAGGATTCCATGTGGGATCTGGCTAAGGCTGGAGTCCCACTGAAGCCCCACTTGCCTGGCTCCTTCCTCTGCCCTATCTTGGTTTCCTCACTCCCTTACAGGCTTGCCCTTGGAGCACTTCCTCAAATCACCTGCACAAAAATCACCATCTCCAGCTCTGATTTTGGGGAACTCAGCCTAATACATTGGTTGATTTCATTTTCAGATTAATTAGTTAGGGAATGCCATATTTGTCCTAAAATACATGAATGTGTTTTTCTAATTCAATAAACCCACTATAGTAAACCCAAATGAATCTTTATTGTTCCAGAATATCTTTCCTCAAGTTCATTATTACAAGGATGATGTTTCCTTGTATTGTGCTATAAGGTCAGATGCAAGTGGTTTAAGCATCTGAATGTTAACGGTACTGATTTTCGGACATGGTCTGTGTTTAACTGAACTCCCAAAGTTATCACTTTCTTTTTTTTTTTTTAATTCATCTTTTCATGGAAGTATCATGCAAAAATACTTCCAAGTAACTAGCCATGTCCTGGTCTGTAAAATTCCAGTTAATCAAGTTTTGTTTTTCAAAGACTTTTGCTTTAAGAGATTTTTATTTTTTCCTATGGGTGCTTTGATGCTCTAGTTAAGGAAAAATTCTATATAACAAATAATACTATATCACAGATATAGACCCCTATCTATGAAATTACTCTTTATAATAAAAGCCTTGAATATATGATATCTGCGTTATAGACTAGGGAAAATAAATTGAAGAAGGGTTATTTATAAGCTTCCCATTATTACTCCTATCTTCAAAAAATAATACTAATAAGTTTCAAAATTACACATTCTAGCAAAACAATCACAAAAACATTCCAGATAAAGGACAGTAAAATCATCTATTTGCGTACAAATCTTTTTCGTAGACCTTATTAAATAACTACAGCATCTCTGGGTATCAATTCTCTCTCAACCTTAAGTCCTAATGATTTAAAAACATCATATTGATTTTTATAAAAATAAATTTTTAAAAACTGTTTTATTAAAAATTATCCTTAAAAAATTGATGTCACTGTCATTAACTCCAAAAGGAATA